GCGTTCGGGGGCTGTTTGGTGTCCCCCTTCCAATCTTCGCTGAATTGTCAGGCATAGTTGGGACTGTCCGGTTGAGATTTCAAATGACTCCCAATCCACCATTTATCAAGAATCTTTCCATGACATTCATGGGACTTCCAAAGGTCAGCGTCTCTGTTGTACCAATGACCCAGCGTGGAATCAACGTCTTGAATCTGCCATTGATTAGCAACTTCGTCAATTATGCTGTCGGTGCAGCCCTTGATGAGTACGTAGCACCCAAGTCACTCAGCTTGGATGTCGGTAAGATGATCGAGGGAGCTAGCGTTCAGCAGGAGACGGATGCTATCGGTGTCATTTACGTCAAGATCCACGATGCCACCGGTATTCCAGCTATGGATCGAGGAGGCGGTTCGGATACATATATTACCCTCGCCTTTAGTCAATTCGGAAAACCGGTCTACTGCACTCGTGTCATTCTCAAAGACCGCAATCCTTCCTGGGAGGAGGATACCTGTATCCTTCTTCACAATCAACAAATAACGGCTGGCGAGAAACTCTCAGTCCAGCTCTGGGATAGTGATCGAATTGGGAAGGATGACATGGTCGGGCGCATCGAATTCGATCTCCATGATATTATCGAAAACGCAGGCGTAATGCAAACCCGCAGCGACACCTTAATCGGAGAGAAGGATGGTAAGGAAGTACCTGGAAAACTCAACTGGGAGATCGGGTTCTTCCGCCGTACCGACTTCAAAAAATCGATGAAAACCACAGGTGAGGACGTTAGGGTCCCTCGCGAACTTCGTCATAAACAAGAATTCCACGAAGAAACTCCCGTCCCGGTCGGCGAAGATGATAAACTGGCTCTGAATGTGCCACCAGACCCGAACTACCCGACCGGCGTAGTCTCAATCACCATCCATGAAATCAAGCACCTTGAATTTGAGCGCAGTAAAGGTACATTTGGCAAGATTAGACCATACAGCCCAGCCCAGATAGTTGGCGAAAACAAAGATGAGGAAGGCAGTCATTTGCCTAACGCATATTGTACTGTAATGGTTAACGATGTCCTCGCGTTCAAGACTCGTACAAAAGTTTCTTCATCGAATCCTATGTTCTCAGCTGCCGTCGAAAGATACGTTCGAGATTGGAGAAATGCTGTTATCACTGTTGCAGCAAGGGACTCACGTCACAGAGAACACGATCCACTACTAGGTGTCTGTTCCATCAAACTGTCCGAAGCCCTACAAACTAGTAGCACTGTCACTCGCCTCTACGCCCTTGATGGGGGCATTGGCTACGGCATGGTGTCCCTTACTATCCTTTTCCGTTCCGTCAACCTCCAAGTTCCCCGGAATCTCTTGGGTTGGGATGTTGGCTCTATCGAGGTCATGGATGATCTTATGACTGTTACCGGTCCCGGCGCACAGGAGCTTCTAAACTCTCGTATTGTCTTTAGCAGCGACTGTAACCAACAAAAGGTCCCTCGCCGTCTCGCATCCAACGATAACGGTGTCTCCTGGAACCTCAATGGCCTCACAATCCGTGTTCCAGTTCGCCAACGGTACGGTTCTTCTCTCAAGCTCGAATTCTACTCGCGTATGTCTCGAAAGCCAATAGCGTACTGCATCTACTGGCTTAACGAAATAATCGACAACCAAACCACCAAACTATCACTCCCCGTCTGGAAGACAAAGGATACAAACGCACTTACCCAGAATAACATCAAAGATGTCAGCTCCCGCGAAAACATCAATGCGGAACAGATTGCTACTTTTAACGTTACTTTGAGGTTTAAAGACGGTCTCGATGAGTCTCACAGAAGCTACATGGATACCAACGATGACCGCGAGACTTTTGATGCATTTGAAGCCTGTCTTGCGGAAGGTTCGAGAAGGAGGATAGTTAAACGAGAAACCGGTGCCACGATTAAAAAGCTTATCGCAACAGGTGCAACAGAGGACTTACCAAGTGACGAGGAATCGGAGATGCTAGATGAAAATGGGGAGAAGAAGAGTATTCCAAGACCGAGATTACGTGGCCATGAGCCTTCACAAACAGAACGCCCAAGCAGAGATAATATTATAATCAACGAAGAGGATTGGAAAACTGAAGTCATGAGCGTTGTGGATGATCAAGACGAATTCGTGTCTGATGAAAATGTCCGAAGGATCGCAGGCGATGACCCAGACGATGTAGACGAGCGTCATGATCTGTCAAGTGACGAAGACGAGAATGATGAGGAGAGTGGTAGTAAAGGTGAAGATGAGAGAGGAATGGATCCTGATGCTAAGAGGGCCAAAAAGGAAAGGAAAATGGCAGAGAGGAGGCAGAAATTTAGAAAGCATCGGGGAATTATGCAGTGGAAGCCGGCTAGGAATATGGTTTTCTTGAAGGATGAGTTAATGGTTGGAGCGCAGAAGATTAAGGGTAAATTTGGAATGAAGGGAAGACAGCCTGGGTTGGAGACAGAACTAAATCAGGGGATGTAGAGAGACAGGTTATTGGAAGGTTGAGGATAGTGCGTGTGTCTTTTTCTTCAGGCGTTTACTTTATCTTGTTTTCCTACCGCATGTTTATCGAGGCTATTCCCTTGCAGTCTTTTCTTTGAACCAGGTTGCTTGCAATTACTTCTCTAGGTGTTACTCAAGCGTGATTTTCGAAATGCAAAGTTATAATTATTTGTTTACTACCATCGGATCCTGTCAATTTGATGCTTAGTTTAGCCCAGTTAGATCTGGCATATATACATATGTTACACAATCCCAGAACTTTAGCTCACGGCAGTTTACTACATATCATATTAAGTATCTTACGGCTGTAGAACCCCTATTACATCTATAGTAGCCTATTTCAGGTAGTAAATACCTAGAATAGAATGGGAGACACTTTAGTTGCCTCGACTTTACTCGAATTCCTCTGCTTTCCCTTCGCGAATCTCACTTCGGTTACACCCTACGATTCGGGTTGGCCTTCCCGACTACAACGCAAATTCGCAAAACAATCAATGTTGCATTTTTTACAAGCCCAAGGATACTACTATCATGAGTACCAATGCTCTTTCATTCGATTCATTCATCCATTTGCGTTCAAAATGTGCATGTAGTAGTATATATTTTCGTGAAAAGTGAAAGAGAAAAAAAAAAAAAAAAAAAAGTTCATGAGAACGCCATTCGGTAATAACTCCGAATAAACTCCGTTTCCGATGTCATAAGTTCGTTGATGTGTAGATGATGGGTGTATGTAGGCGGTTTGGGTGGGTTCGTTAACTTTCGTCGTGATCTCGTAAAGCTTGACATTTTGCGATGACACTTGTTATATCGTCATACGTTCGTTTTTTAATCCTTCTTCTCCTCCTTCTTTTCTTCCTCCTTCTTCTCCTCCTTCTTCTCCTCCTTCTTTTCTTCTTTCTTCTCCTCCTTCTTCTCGCCTTCCTTCTTCTCGCCCTCCTTCTTCTCGCCCTCCTTCCTGTCGCCCTTCTTATGGCCTTCCTTTGGAGGCCTTGCCGCCATGACAGCTGGGGAAGTCTTGCAGACGAATATAGTCTTTGTGGTAACCTTTCCGGGAACGGTCTTAGTAGCTTTCTCTTGTTTCATGAGCTAGTAGACATCCAATCAGTTAGTCATCGAATCATTTTATAGCTTCAACGATATATAAGCATACCGGTCCGGTGCCGAAGAACCTAAATTCCCTCATCTCATATTTGACGTTCAACATGCAGCCTTTGCAGTCACGGTCGATGGTCTCCGTGGCGTACTTGGTACTTTCGTATTGAGTATGGACACCGCGGTTAAGGTGCATGAAACCGAAAACTCCGGGGTTGGTGGTCGAAACCAAATCGGTTCGGCAGATCGCGCGGGCGGCAATTGGGGCCATGATCTCAGGAGCCATTGTTGGCTCTGGAATTGGGGCCGGGATGGCCAAGGCGGTGCTGTGAACTGCTTATTAGTATCATATATTCTGTAGATTTATCTATATATCGTTTTGTAGATAATGCAACATACCCAGCGGCGGCAAGGGCGGCAACGATAGAGAGGATCTGCATTTTGGAAGATATTTTTTTTTGTAAAAGAATGTCGGAAAAGATGAAAAATATCGGAAGAAAAAGGAGTGGTTGATGCAGAGTATAATCCTACTATTCAAGAAAGAATGAGAGATATAGCGAGAGAGGGAACGACAGATCGAACGAGTGTGATGCTGCTGCGATACAAGGAACAAAAAGGACAAGAGAAGAGGAGTAGTGAAAAATCAGGCTTATATAGTGGTCATAAATTTTTAGGATTTTATTTGAAAGGAATCGGATATTTTGTTTTTGGTGGAATTGGTATAGTCGTAGATGCATCTCGGACTAACCTCAGACCACATCTTGTGGAATGAAGGGAAGTATAACACAAAACCCGTCTGTCGATGCGTTTGCAACGTAGATGCCAAGGGGCGCCACACCCGACACAACCAAAATGCCAACCAAGAAGGAAAGGTTACCCTTTCAGATTCCAGTCTGTGGAAGGGTCCTGCGCTAACAGATACGTAAACCAGCCCACGAGTTCTATGCTATTATAAATGTTTTGGGAAGGAAATTATGGTTATCTTACCCTGCGGGTTCCGCCAGCTACAGCATGGCTTAGATGTCGACAAGGAAGGTGTAAGGTTATATTGTGTTGCGGTACGTGAGTTCGATTTTCACAGGCAGAACATGTCTATTCGAGCCGTGAAGGTTTCGGGGCTTCAAAGGTCCATCGGCTAGAAAGACTCTGATGAGCAAGAAAGACCCAGATACTTAAAAACCCCACTCCACTTATAACCCCGGGCTGGGGAAGTCGCCCGTTTGAGTATCAGCTGAGCCTATACATACTACTTAGCCTAGTACTATCCAAGATTCGAAGCTTTTTTGGAATCTAGGCTACGTAATATCAATAGAGAAACCTTTTTGGAGACTCCAAACCAAGTTGGCACTTTTAGTTAAAAGGTATATATATGTAACTTGCCATCTTGCTGATATCAAATCATGAAAACCGACCTCCGATATGGTGTAGTGGTTAACATCGTTCGCTCTCAAGATCTGATCCAATAGGATCAGTGAATAGGACCGAACAGCCCCGGGTTCGATTCCCGGTGTCGGAATTCATCTTTTTGCTGTTTTTTGAGCTACTTTTCTTGACATATTTTTGCTTTCGGATCTGTTTCTTTTTGGAAGCTAGTTGTAAAAGGCCGCGATATACGGTTAGCACATTGTGTTACCTGTGGTTCGTCTCTTTGTTCAATCAATTGTGCGATTATATTCCCTGGAAGTGGCCCTTTATCCCGAAAAATCCCTAGTTCCTTCACCAGGGAAAGCTTTATTAGCAATTAGGCTTATTATGTAACTTAACCTCCATTTGCTATGCCATTGTATATTACATAAACGGCAATTATAACGTTACTTCAATTAAGTATTTTCGTTGAAAAAAAAAGGCCCGGCGCTAAGGATAGCCAAGCTTTTGATATCAGCGAAAAATAATGCAACAGTGTCGGAGGGTAGACAACACAAATATTCGAAAATGCTGGCAGTGGTACGTGTAGTCAGCTGGGTGATGAGTGTTATCGGCCTCATGAAATCACCCACCACTCCCACAAACATCGCAACCATCACAACCATCATACGAAGTACCAATCATCGAGCGATAAGCCCTACCATCCGAAGTCAAAATCTCGGAGTCCGAAGTACTACAAAATTTTATGATTACGAATTCGTTCTGGACTCGGTCGGTCGGTTCTAAATCGCCATCGTGCTAACGCGTTTCTCCATTGTCAAAGACTCGCAGTATAGCGTAAGCTTTACATAAATCTGTCGTGCTTTGGGCCCCATCGTGTTCTTTACAATGGATGCAGAGCCAGGACGTGGCAAGCCCCAGGCTTCACTTTCAGTCAACCGTCAGGGTGATAAAGGAAAGAATAGGATCCCTTCTGGTATGTAATTTACTAGTATGAACTATTCTGTAACTTATTATTTATTTGGGATGGCTGGCCAATGAATGCGGCTAGTTCTACGTGCATCTACATCGTTTTCCACGGAAGAGACCCGAGGCTAATAATAATGGAACGCAGACTTAACTCCTCTATCAGGAGCAGCCGTGGAAAGTAGCGGATCAGAAGATGAGGTCGAAGACGATGAGTCTGACACAGATGAGGAACCTACTAACCCTCAACCTGTAATACTACCAGAAAAAGAGGTCGAATCCCGGGAATTTTCCTCTGAAACTGGATTCTACAAGTTCATTTTCAAGTCATTTGTGCGCGAAGATAAGATTGGTAGGGAGGATTGGTTAACAACCATTCGTGTTGACCTTACTGCAAATAGGATGGCTGTTGGGACTGGCCTGGGTAAATATTTGGCCAAAGACAAAATTCGAGACATCTTCTGGAAGACCATGAGCGAAGAAGTCGCCGAATTCCGGCGTATGGCGTATTTCCTATTCAATCGCTATGGCCGCTTCAAAGAACATTTCAAGAGCCACCCGGTTCAAAGAGGGTCTGGGGTCTGGGGAGATGAATTAGATAATGGGGACATATTTTTTATCGAATGCGTCCATGTTGTTCCCGCGTGGCGCCGAAAAGGTTTTGGCAACATGATAATAGACGAATTGATCGCCAAGTCCTGTCGAGAAGGACGGACTCCGGTCGTTACGATAGTCTCGCCACAGTGCTTCCTGAACGAAATCCAGGAAAGGACCAAGAATGAAGGATGGTATAAGGCGCACCAAATCGAAGCCCGCACCATGGAACAAATTATTTCATTCTGGCGCAAGTCGGGATTCCGTCGGATCGGTAGTTCTCGATTTTTCGGTCGTCCCACAGATCCAAGTCACCCATCGGTCACAATCCTTCCGGAGAACGACTTCAACCCAGCAAAACCTACCTTTGATCCAGAGTTACCACCGGAATCCAAAGTCAAGCAAAGCGCTCCCAAATCCCAAGAAGATATTTCGAGATCCCGTTCTATGAAACTTCTACGGGATCGCCTGGTAACGCACCACGCCGTACTCACCCTCCAGGATGAGGAATGTGTCGCATTTTTGTGGAATTTCAAACCTCCAAAATCTCAGCTAAACATCACAAACTCCGTTGATCGCTTCCTCAACAATACCTTACACCACGCAGCTATGCGATTCAAACCAAAAACCATTGCTTGGCTTTTATCCAACGCAAACAAGGACAATCTACTTAGCTCAGCCCGAAACGTTGAAGGCTATACGCCAGAGGAGGCGCTGAAGGCTAGACTCGAAATAATGAGAACGATTAGGATCGAGAAGTCTCCGGACGGCAGTGCCAACAGGGACCTCAGTGACATCTCTGCAGCGTTCACTGGGTTTCCTAAAAACGCTGTGTATGCTTTGGCCGCCTTTAAACGGTTGAGAGATCTCCCTCGGTACAAATACTTGCAATTGCAGTTCGGATGTACTTGTCGTCAATGCATCTCTGGTATTTTATCACCACGGATGAGGGTTGCGCTCATGTGCCAAGCCAGATGGATACACAAAATGCTCGGAAATGGCGAAGGCCCGAGTATGTGGGACATGGACCCGAGCGCATACGTGCAATATCTGACACCCGAGCTGCAAGAGATCATAAGGACCGAAAAGCCCATTCAACAGGGTTATTCAAATCTATTTTTCTTTGTCGCCGAGACACTGAGGAGGAGGAAGCTCCCAACAGTATGTGACGTTATGAACACATACTTCTCATACAAAGAAGCGGTTCCTTGCACTAGAATGTTTTTGGACAAGGGGGGGACCCTTCAAGATGTCTTTCGCATTCTTTTTGAGCAGGCTCGAGATTCAGATGATTGGGTTGGGGACGGGACCCAGATGCAGAGGGCCGCAATTGTCATCGAAACTTTACCAGAGTGTCGTAACGACCATGAATTCGACTTTTTAGAGAATATTACTTCCTGCCCTCGCTGAAAATTCAACACTTATGCAGAAGGGTACTTTTTTTCTATCTTAAAAAGGGTCCGCATCTTAATAGCAGATGCAATCGTCCTTAGATACGAATACAATCAATTGGGATCTCAATCCCCCTGCACCTCAAGGATAAGGTTTCTCTCAGTATGCCCCTAGTAGTTCCAATAAATATTCACCCAAGAATCGAGATGGAAGTAAGCATGATAGAGGCCCTACAGTTCAATTACAAGATATCCCCGACAAGATTCATAGACATAAATGGCTAATATATGCGTATATGTAAAGACACGGATTAAACCACTGCCTGTTCATATTGAACTCGAATATATCATGTCGTGGCGAGGGTATCCCTTCCTGTCAGCTGTCAGCAGCTGAAATCGTCACGTGGAGCATGCAAGTCAATTGATCAATGGCAGTTAATGGTAGGAGCCACAACTAGGAGAAGTCCTAACCTTGCGCAATCTCAAACCCGATCATATTGCAATAGCAATATGGACTGACAGGGCCCGATTAACCATCGTAGCTGCAGTTTCCAGTTACCCGGGAAGAAGTGATCAACATAATTGAGGATTGTTGAATCTGAATCTCGCATGGGAATCGACGATTTAACAATATATTCCCTGGGTCGATCAGCCTACTACTGCAGGAGTAAAATACTCATGAGCTCCCAGAAATATTTTTTGTCCATCAGAGCTACAGCTGGGTTTTCGGGACGAAGAAACTCCACGTCGCCGTTTCCTTCCATCTTTAGAGTTTCTCTTATCACGCGATGTAATATAGCCTATTACCTAACCCAGCAGAAACGCCATGGTGGAATTTTATAATTTATCCGCACAATTTAGCAGCCGGAAGTGTGGAGACCTTCAAGAAATACGAACTGCCTACCAAAAAGCACATGAGCCCGAGCTCAAGCCTACGCCTTGCAATTTATGCAACCCGCGACGACAGCCATTTTTCTTTTGATCCCCTCCAATACCCCAGACTTGGCTGCTGAGGGGTTTTCTTCGTGCGTTCTGGATTTTAGAACACGTGGAAGCGGTTAAGTATTGAGTCTCCAACCAGCCAAGATGGTTGGCAAACGACCAAGTTTCGACTTTTAATAGTCTAGCTGAATTCTGTCCGATGGCTGGGGAAAAGAACAATTGTGGAGAAGCAATAGAATTTTCTTGTCAGCCTGAACGGATCGAGTGTCAAGAAACCGTGCTGTGCTGTGGATACTACGTTTACAGGTACTTATGTGCATACTAAGTACTTACATATGCACATGTACGAGACAGTGTGGGGCGGTTTCTAGAATGCTTCTCCCGGCGCTCTATGTTGAAGATGTGACAGAGGCGTCTACCTAGTTGCTGTGAGACCCAACTTGATAATAAAGTTACTCAAAAAACACACCAAATACGAGATTGACGGTTGTACAACCCTGATAGGTCGTATACAAATATCCATCCAAATTTGATGACCAGTCCTGGCCTTGGTGCGTATTTGAGTAGGATCCTCGGTCACACAAAGGTAAAATCAAGAAAATGAGTGGATGTGGTGGTACAAGGAGAAGTTCCTTTAGTAGAACTCTTCAGGCTCGATTTGAACCTCAGGTATCATATTTGTAGACCTCCGCCAGCGCAATGCAACGCCTGAACTCATGTACAGTACATCCCAAAAATGCCCTTCGTGACAAGTGACTAGATACAGCAAAGAAATTGTAGTAAAATGGCAATGCCATGGGCCAAAAGTAAAAGAAATAGGAAAAAAAAAAAAAAAAAAACTCCTCTCAGATATCATTAGCCAGACAATTCTTGTTTCCCCAGCGCATACAAGAAAGCCATAATATGCTTTTTATCGTACGTACCCCAATTAAAACGAAATTTCAAGGGAAAACTATGTGCAGTGAATAGAAGACGAGAGGGAGAAGAGAATCCATCCCTACAAAAAACAAGAAGCTCATAAAACTTAACTATGGTAATCAGAAAAGATTCCCCCGTGGTAACCCAATGAAAATCCCAATGTACGCCAAACCAACCACGCATGCTACAGCAAAACTCTGTTTTGATATAACTCTTTGTACACGTTTAACTTCCTTCTCTTCGACTTCCGTTCTACGTTCATACATCCGTCTAAGAAGTGTTGTATTATTTTCGTAGTTCTCAACCCACTCTTCAATGCCATATTCTTCTGCTTCGCTGC